TTATTTCATTTTCAAAGCGTGGTGTTGTGGAAGCCTTCGGTCCTGTAGGCTCCGTTACTCTTGAAACTTGTTCTCTGTTTTTTGTTTTCTGATGACAGAGGGAACGTTTAGGGCCACACCACTGCCTGTCTGCCAGCTGGATTCTGGATACTTTGTACTCGACTGTGTATAAGCATCATTTTAGGGCCGCCCTAACGGGATTGAGTGAGAGAATTCAAGCAGCAGATTTAAGGCATCTTCAATACAGCAATATCGATAGATTTTAATATTGTCTTTTTAAAATTGCCTTCTTACTGTAGAAAAAATAATGTACATCCAAATTATTACAAGTAGGTGTAAAGTTGTAACTTTGAAACAGCTGCTATGTTGTTTGTTTTTTACAGAATTTAACCTTGCTTATAAATGAAAAGTGTCATTTTTAACTTTTTACAGGATTTCACTTCACGAGTACATATCATATAAAACAAAGAGTGATTAATATCATTGCATGGTTTGGAACTCGACACATTTATATCAGAGCTTCTTCATTTTATCTTTCTTATAAATGTTTTTTTAAATGTTTTTATTTCCAAAGGCTGGTTGGTTCAGAGTTGAGATGTCTTCAGGTTCTTTTTGAAATAATGTTGTAGTTTAACCCTCTACGAAAACGAGAACACATCTTTTTTTTTTTTACCTTCATTCATTTCTAAGACCAATAAAATAATTTAAATCTTTTCTCAAGTGGGCATGGTACATCTTTACCACCATTTTCTTTCTTGTATCACAGCTTTGATCATGTTTGGTGAGAGCAGGGACTTGACCGAGTAGTTCATGTTCAGGAACAGAAAACAAAGCGCTACATGCAAATCACTCAGGGGTATATACAATGTATGATTCTAAGTTTAAAAGCCACATTGGATGACTGAAAACGTGGGAGTAGTCATGTGTTGCCAGTTCATAATATGAGAACTTTTGGTAAATATATTTGATGTCGTAAAGAGAAGAAAAAAATGAAGTTACAATATATCCGTAACCTCGGTAACAGAAATCAAAACATGAAATCTGATATTTACCTTTTTACATGACAGTTTACATCTAAGGAGAAAAGAGACAACGGTTAAATATGACAAACACGTGCTCAACAAGTAACTTAATTAACCCAAAAATGAAATGTGATATTTTAATATTCACCTTTCAGAAGGAAATCTTCCTGAAAGGTAAATTTCATCAGATGGCGCGCAAAAGAACTTTTGGATGTATCGCAAGCAACGCTGCAGTGCTACAAAGGAAATCAAATTCTTAGTTTTCTTTCTAATTTCGCCATCTTCAAATAAAGTTAATGTACACAAATACAATCTTAATTTTTCACTTCCTGCAGGGCAATACTACGACTACTACTCAGTGATGTGCGGTGAGGACTTTTTCAGAGTCAGATGCATAAATAAATGAACCCATTTATAGAGTAGCTTAGATTTACCATTCAATTGGCAGCTTGTACATTGACTACTGGTTGTGTTTCATATCTCATAACAGCATTATTTACACACATAATAATAAATGTTATTTATAAGCGCTGTACAATAGTTAAAAACAGAAAGAACAGCACAGTAAGGACAGACTAACAGACAACATTACACACAAACCATAAAGATAACAACAATAGATAATAAAAAAAGATAACAACTCCGGACCTTCAGGTGGACGGCCTGGAGGCAGGGCACATAGCCTGGAAAGTTCAGGCGGACGGCCAGGAGGCCGACCAAACCCAGGGAGCAGTTTGGGTGGGCGGCCGGAAGGCCGACTAGATGAACCCACGGGACCAGTGAGAGGCCAGACCTCCCACGGAAACACAGAGTCAGCAGGGCCTTCGACGAGGGCACAGGAGTCAGCAGGGCCTCTGACGAGGGGGCAGGAGTCATCAGGGCCTCTGACGAGGGCACAGGAGTCAGCGGGGTCTCTGACGAGGGGGCAGGAGTCACCGGGGCCTCTGACGAGGGCGCAGGAGTCAGCGGGGTCTCTGACGAGGGGGCATAAGTCAGCAGGGCCTCTGACGACGAAACAGGAGTTGGCAGGACCTCCCACAGAGACACGGGAGTGGGCGGGGCCTCCCACGGAGACACGAGAGTGGGCAGGACCTCCAACCAGGAAACAGGAGTGGGCAGAACCTCCCACAGAGACACAGGAGTCAGACGGCGCTCTGCCGGAACTGGTACAGGGACAGAAACACAGGGAAGCTGAGGCCGGAGTTGATGCCTGGGCTGAGGCAGAGACTCTGGGGTGCTGGGCAGTGGAGGAAGGAGAGGACGACGGGCCCCGTGGCCTCCAGTCCTTCTTCTCTGGCCTCCACGAGTTCCATTAAAAACACATACAACATGCAATGAACTGACACAGGAGGGAAGAAACACAGAAACTAAATAGACAGGGGTCATCAAACACAGGTGAGACTAACAAGACACAGGTGAAGACAATCAGGGCAATCACACTGGAGGGAAACACACAGGCAGGAGAAGTCAAGAATGAACAAAACACACTAGAACAAGAAGAAACACTAAACACTGAAAAACAAAACTAAAAAAAAGACCAACTCATAACAGATACATCACATACATTAAAAGCTTGTTGACTCACTGACTGACTGACTGACTGAATCACTGACTGACTGAATCACTGACTCACTGACTGACTGACTCACTGACTGACTGACTGAATCACTGACTGACTGAATCACTGACTGACTGACTGACTGAATCACTGACTGACTGACTGACTGAATCACTGACTCACTGACTGACTGACTGACTGAATCACTGACTGACTGACTCAATGATTGACTGAATCACTGACTGACTGACTGACTGAATCACTGACTGACTGAATGACTGACTGATTGACTGACTGAATCACTGACTCACTGACTGACTGACTGACTGACTGACTGAATCACTGACTGACTCACTGACTGACTGACTTACTGACTCACTGACTGAATCACTGACTGACTCACTAACTGACTCACTGACTCACTGACTGACTCACTGACTGACTGACTCACTGACTGACTGACTGACTGACTCACTGACTCACTGACTGACTGACTGACTGACTCAGTGACTGACTGACTCACTGACTGACTGACTGACTGACTCACTGACTGAATCACTGACTGACTGACTCAGTGACTGACTGAATCACTGACTGAATCACTGACTGACTGACTAACTAACTGACTGACTGAATCACTGACTGACTGACTGAATCACTGACTAACTAACTGACTGACTGACTGACTGAATCACTGACTGACTGACTGACTGAATCACTGACTGACTGACTGACTGACTGCCTGACTGACTGAATCACTGACTAACTGACTGACTGCATGAATCACTGACTGACTGACTGAATCACTGACTAACTAACTGACTGACTGACTGACTGAATCACTGACTAACTAACTGACTGACTGACTGACTGAATCACTGACTGACTGACTGACTGAATCACTGACTGACTGACTGAATCACTGACTGACTGACTGACTGACTGTCTGACTGACTGAATCACTGACTAACTGACTGACTGCATGAATCACTGACTGACTGACTGAATCACTGACTGACTGACTCACTGACTGACTCATTGACTGACTGACTGACTGAATCACTGACTGACTGACTCACTGACTGACTCATTGACTGACTGACTGACTGAATCACTGACTGACTGCATGAATCACTGACTGACTGACTGAATCACTGACTGACTGACTGACTGACTGAATGACTGACTGATTGACTGACTGAATCACTGACTCACTGACTCACTGACTGACTGCATGACTCACTGACTGACTGACTGACTGACTGAATCACTGACTGACTGACTGACTGCATGAATCACTGACTGACTGAATCACTCACTGTGACTGACTGTGATTCATTGACTGACTGACTGACTGACTGACTGACTGACTGAATCACTGACTGACTGACTGACTGAATCACTGACTGACTGACTGACTGACTGCATGAATCACTGACTGACTGACTGAATCACTGACTGACTGACTGACTGACTGCATGAATCACTGACTGACTGAATCACTCACTGACTGACTGACTGACTGCATGAATCACTGACTGACTGACTGAATCACTGACTGACTGACTAACTGACTGACTGACTCACTGACTGAATCACTGACTGACTGACTGACTCACTGACTGACTGACTCACTGACTCACTGACTGAATCACTGACTGACTGACTGAATCACTGACTGACTGACTCACTGACTGAATCACTGACTGACTGACTGACTGCATGAATCACTGACTGACTGACTCACTGACTCATTGACTGACTGACTGACTGACTGAATCACTGACTGACTGACTGCATGAATCACTGACTGACTGACTGAATCACTGACTGACTGACTGACTGCATGAATCACTGACTGACTGACTGAATCACTGACTGACTGACTGACTAACTGACTGACTGACTCACTGACTGAATCACTGACTGACTGACTCACTGACTCACTGACTGACTGACTGAATCACTGACTGACTGACTGACTGACTGTCTGAATCACTGACTGACTGACTGACTCACTGACTCACTGACTCACTGACTGACTGACTGACTGACTGACTCACTGACTGACTGACTCACTGACTGACTCACTGACTGACTGACTGACTGACTGACTGACTCACTGACTCACTGACTGACTTATTGACTAACTGACTGACTGACTCACTGACTCACTGACTGAATCACTGACTGACTCACTGACTCACTGACTCACTGACTGACTGACTGACTGACTGACTCACTGACTCACTGACTGACTGACTGACTCACTGACTCACTGACTCACTGACTGAATCACTGACTGACTCACTGACTCACTGACTGACTGACTGACTGACTCACTGACTCACTGACTGACTGACTGACTAACTGACTCACTGACTCACTGACTCACTGACTGACTGACTGACTGACTGACTGACTCACTGACTCACTGACTGACTAACTGACTGACTGACTCACTGACTCACTGACTGAATCACTGACTGACTCACTGACTGACTGACTGACTGACTGACTGACTGACTGACTGACTGACTCACTCGCTGACTCACTGAGTCACCGTGTGTCACACTGTAAAGTATCCTACCGACGGTGGAGGTGCGGCAGCCTTTTGTTCCGCTTTCTGTGGATTTATTTTGTTCAAAACATGTTTTTATTATCAGAAACAAGACGTAAAAAACTTCTCTTTATTAAAAAAACTAGATGATATTGTACAGTGAGTTACTATGGTTACAGATAGACAGAAAGTGTGTTATTAAGGTTAGCCTACAGGGACAGTGAGTTACAGAGATACTTTATTGATACTTTATAATTACTAAAGTTACACAGGGACAGACTGTTACCATGGTAACATGAACAGTGAGTTACTATGGTTATAGGGACAGTGAGTTTCTATATGAGTTACTATGGTTACAGGGACTGTTACTATGGTAACCGGGACAGGCTGTGTCTGTCTGGAATATGCTCCAATCTGCTTTTTTTTGTCCACAATGAAACTAAAATAATGATATGAATTATAAACTGAACTAAAGTCTATATTTACTGTGTCATCCAAAACTTCGGGTCGGCTTCATGAATTAAATCATGAGGAATGAACTTTTCCTCGATGGGACCTGGAGCCTGATGAACATCTGAAAACAAACAACTCAAGAGGACAAAAACATAAACATCAGAAAATAACACCAACTTCATGTTTGAGTCAAATTAAGTTTAATTTCAAAGAAGAAGAAGATTAATGTACAGCCTTAATAAAATCCAGACTGTGATATTTAATAAACAGAAGTTATTGATGTTTTTTTTATGCAACATGGCCGTCGTATAAGAGGCGGATTGGAAGCAGTGAAACTTTGTGTTGACATGGTGTCAGTTATTTAAAAAGTAAATCACTTGTAGAATATAGAGACATTATTTGAGTGAATTATCAAGAGTAACACACATGAACAACATGACAGAAAGATGACTGTGTCTGGGTTTACACCAAGAGCAGAAACACCAGCCCATCTTAAAACACGGGGTTAATTAGATCAGACGAGGAAGAAATGTGGAGGAGAACATGTTCCCTCTAAAGTGAAGAAGAGACCAAGTATTCAGTTACAAACTACAGAGAGACGCAAAGAAAGCTCAACTTCCTTCACACTTCACTTCATTACAGAAGTCCAGTCAAAGATTATTTTTCTGCCTTTGGATCGCTCCACACTCCTGTCCACTAGGGGGCAGTGATTACAAAAAGAGACATTAAACTTGAACATGAAATATAAAAACATAAGAACAAATAAAAGAGCTGGCATCATCTATCTTTCTTTGTGTTTCCTGACACAGAAATAATCTCTTCAGATCGATCAGTCTGGGAGAAAACTGTGGAAACAGTGACACCTGCTGGCAGAAAGCAGTGATAGCAGCAACAGAACCTAAACATGAATTATTATTCAAATAAAACCCTCCACAGATTGAATTTATCTCTATTTAAAATCCTGAGATAATAAAAACATAAGGTTCAAACATCAAAGTGTAATAAACATCAGAAGTTACAAATAAAGATAGTTTGATAACGTGTCCGTTGTTACCCTGACATGATGAATGAATATCAATGATTGAGTCAGTTATTCAGCTCTTTTTATATCATCTCATATTACATCAAATATTCAGGTGCTGACTCTGCACCTGGATCCAGACATCCTGTTTGTAGTTCTTTTAAAAACTCAGTGAAGCCTCCTCTTTGTTTTGATCCAACAAAGAGACGACTGATTTATTATCAGACGACCAACGACTCGTGGTTAAAAGCAGAACTTCACACTTTAACTTGCACAGGTGGAATCAACTTCTACTGTTATCTGTGAATATGAGTCAATGAATAACCTGCACCACTACACATGTCCACAGGGTGGCGCTGCAACAGAAACATTTATATCCAAATCAAAGAGTTCATCGGTCGTTGAGTCATGAAGCAGTTTAAATTCAGAATATGAGAATAGAAAAATGTCCGAGGTCATGGTCCTGTGTGTGACGGTGGAGCTGATCTCAGAGCAGCTCAGACTGCAGCACTGAGAGTCATCTGCGCTGTGATTGGTCCGTCAGTCTCCCAGTAACACAGCCCAGTTAAAGACTCACCAACACACCAGCTGCTGCTTCCAGCTCTGTGATCAGCAGGATCCTCTCTTTAAAGACTCACCTCCTCCAGCTGTTGATATAAAAAGAGATAAATGAGAGATTAGACTCTGAGAGAGACTTCATGATTATTCTGATCATATAATATCATCGTTATCATGATTATTCTGATTATCAGTGATACAGAACATCCAGTATGAAGAGCAGCAGGGACTTCAGTCCTGCTCAGAAGTGA